GGAGGAAAAGAAATGTAATCTCCAAACACGGAAAGGTTTCATCACAGTAAGAGCTGTGAGAATGTGGAATAGACTCCCTCAACAGTTGGTTGTGGCCAGCTCAGTGGATTGCTGTAGGAAAGTCCTGGATTCTTTCTCGGATACACAGAATATAACTGGATATAACATTTATAGGTAAAGTTGATCCAGGGAATATCCGATTGCCTCTCGGGGGATCAGGAAGGAATTTTTGTCCCCTGCAGGAGCAAATTGGATCGTGCTTTGCTGGGTTTTTGCCTTCCTCTGGATCAACTGTGGGTGTAGGATTATAACTTTTTTTTTTCAATGGTTGAACTGGATGGACTTTTGTCTGTTTTCAGCCAGACTAACTATGTAACCATGTAACTATGTGAGCCGAAGTGAGTTATCCTCTCTGCCTTATAGTTTTTTTTTTTACTCACTGGGAGAAAAAAAAACATTTCAGGACTGGGGCTACTGTTTAAAATCTGAATTGCAGGACCTCTGGAACGGATTGAGATTTTGCTGTGTTGTGACCTTTATTTGAAGTTCCTAGAGTGATGGCTGCTCCTTTATGCACATATTGTCCTATTGCTTTACTGTGCCTACATTTGATCTCAATACAACCAGAATATCAGTGCACTCTAAACTGTCTGTGAGTCTATTTTATGGTTGCAACCCAGAGGATTTTTTTGGTTTAACCCCTTAGCACCGTCGTAACACAAATATGCGGCCTCACGGAACTGGGCCTTTTTTCTGCGGGGCCGCATATTTGCATACCTGTCTTTGTGCTGGGAGTGCGCCGCACGACGCGCTCTCAGCACAAAGACCGCGTGTCACTGAGAGCCCCGGGTCCTGTTCTAACTATTGGGACCCGGGACTCCCGATTTTGGGTCACATGATCGCTGTGATAGCCTCTGGTTGGTTATCACAGTGATCAGTCACTGTACAGCCCGGCTCCCTTGTTTTTCTCTCTCCTCTATGAATGGAGGAGAGAGATACATTGTATCTCTCTAATTTTTTGGCATAGAGAGAAAAAAATAAAATTTGTAAAAAAAAAAAAAAAAAAAAAAAATATTTAACAACAAAGAAAAAATACCTAGATTAAGGTTTGATCTAGTTCAGTGCCAGGGTTAGTGTTTGGGTCAAGGTCAGGGTCAAAGGTCAAGGTCAAAGGGTCAAAGGTCAGGATTTTTAAAAAAATTGGTATCGGTGTCAGATAGTGTCAATGTGTCAGTGTGTTTTAGGGGGAAAAAAAGACAAAAACAAAAATGTGCACTATTGTTCCAGGTGTCAGACAAGTAAGATGAGTGACTTTAGCCCAGCTCCATCCAGACCCCTACATGTTTCGTCCCGCCTGCAGGGCTTAGTCATGGAGGTCACTGGAGGTAATTCAGATGGATCTGGAGAGGCACCCTAAGCTTTCTCATTTTATTGTCTCTGCTCAAAGCACCTGAAAAGAAGAAGAACCCAAATGCTGCACTCCAGAGAGAGCCCAGGTGTCAGACAAGTAAGAGCAGCTTTAGCCCAGCTCCATCCAGACCCCTACATGTTTTGTCCCGCCTGCAGGGCTTAATCATGGAGGTCACCGGAGTTAATTCAGATGGATCTGGAGAGGCACCCTAAGCTTTCTCATTTTATTGTCTCAGCTCAAAGCACCTGAAAAGAAGAAGAGCCCAAATGCCGCACTCCAGAGAGAGCACAGATGTCAGACAAGTAAGAGCGGCTTTAGCCCAGCTCCATCCAGGACTCTACACATTATGTCTGGCCTGCAGGGCTTAGTCATGGAGGTAACTGGAGTTAATTTGGATGGATCTGGAGCGGCACCCTAAACTATCTCATTTTGTCTCAGCTCAAAGCACCTGAAAAGAAGAAGAACCCAAATGCCACACTCCAGAGAGAGCACAGGTGTCAGAGGTAACTGGAGTTAATTCGGATGGATCTGGAGAGGCACCCTAAGCTTTCTCATTTTATTGTCTCAGCTCAAAGTTCCTGAAAAGAAGAACGTAAATGCTGCACTCCAGAGAGAGCCCAGGTATCAGACAAGTAAGAGCGGCTTTAGCCCAGCTCCATCCAGGACCCTACATGTTTCGTCCCACCTGCAGGGCTTAGTCATGGAGGTCACCAGGGTTAATTTGGATGGATCTCAAGTTGCACCCTAAGCTCTCTCATTTTATGGTCACAGTTCAAAGCACCTGGTGTGAATGAGCCTTAAAAGATGTGACTGAGATACCCCAGGTGCAGTATTTTTGTCTCAATGAGTACAAATCATCCTCTGAATGGATGAGGCCCAATCAGAGAACATTCGGTGACAAAAATGAAACGCATTCTGTGAATGGCAACCATGCTGAGCAAGAGACCCCCCCCCCCATCCTGCAGGGAAGCACAGGAGCCCAATGTAACAATGCAATAAAATCCATACCTGGAGCTCAGCCTGGAGATACAGTGTTGGCTCTTGGCTCCTTTCTGGATGCAGATTAAGTAGCCACTTCAAGTTGCCGCTATTAATTATCCAGACAAGCAAAGTCTTGCAAACTTGCGAACGCCCCTGTGATTTAAATCATGAATCCTCTAATAAGCCTAATTATTTATTTTGCTAATTTAGCACCTTCTTCAATCGCTGAACTCTATACATCTTAATTGATTCAATTAGCCCCGCGTTTGATTTTTTTTTTACATCAGCTGTGGATTTTCTGATTATAAAAACATTAAACCAACCTACATGGCTATTTTGTTGAGTACAAAAAAAATAAAAAATCTGCTAATCAGTTGGGGGGCAGTAAACCCTCTGGATGATCTGCATTTTTACTGCCCTTTTCTGCGCCCTCCTAGCTTGAAAAGTAGTGGCTGGTGTGTACACGTGCCAAGATGATTTGCTTTACGGTCGTAGCAGGAATTATACCCCTGGCAGGCATTACCACCAACGCAAGTGGCAAGTGAATGCGATCCAATGCGTCCTTGTTGCTGGTCAAATTCTCTCTGAAGAGCAAGCCGAATGCAGACTCACTTTTCTGCATCGTGTACACAGATGCTGATCCAAGATCCTCCAACCAGTCCCCCTGATCAAAGTTTGTATCAGCCCCATATACCCGGAGCACCCCGCTCACGCAGGACCCTACAATTTACTGTGGTCCAGCTAAGGGCTCTGCGGGGTAGGTGAAACGTGGTGCCGTGGCAGGGAACACACACAGGCTGGGAATGCAGGAAACAATATATACCGTGTATATAAAAATATATACACACACACATATATATACATACACACACATACCCCCACACACACACACACACGCACACACACTGCATGTTGAAATGCGTTTTTATTACAAAATATATGAAAAATATTTTTAAAAATACATTTCAAATATACTGTATGTCGTTAAACATACAACTCTACTTTTGTGGAATGCATTTACAAATATATGTTAAAATCACTTTGTTATATGTATTGTTAGGGGCGTACAATCTAAGGTCCCTAACCCTCAAGGGGCGTACAATCTAAGGTCCCTAACCCTCAAGGGGCGTACAATCTAAGGTCCCTAACCCTCAAGGGGCGTACAATCTAAGGTCCCTAACTCACATTCATACATACACATACTAGGGACAATATAGACAGGAGCCAATTCACCTACCAGCATGTCTTTAGAGTGTGGGAGGAACCCAGAGTACCCAGAGGAAACCCACGCAAGCACAGAGAGAACATGCAAACTCCAGGCAGGTGGTGCCCTAGTTGGGATTCGAACCGACGACCCAAGTACTGCCAGGCGGCAGTGCTAACCATTTAGCCACTGTGCTGCCCATAATGATACATTGTTGCATTTGCTTGCTGCCTATGCATGATGCAGATGTGATCAGATGTCAGAAGCATGGCGCCATCTTTGTTCAGCCATCATTCAGGGTCGCTATCTACCTCCTGAGAAGAGATACCGGCTCACAGATAATGTACCTCTGGTAGCCTAATCCTGCTGGTTACCATCGAATTACTGCCAGGCGGAAGTACTAACCATTTAGTCACTGTGCTGCCCATGTAGGAGAATACATTTTTGCTTAAATTTATGAAAAATTTAATTCTGATTTTTTTTTTTTTGGATATGTTTCATAACAGTAAAGTAGAAAACATTTTTTTTTTCAAAATTGTCTGTCTTTTTCCCTATGTATAATAATTAAAAAAAAAAAAAAAAAAAAACAGTTAGTCAAAACTTTGAAAAAAAATTATATAAATTTAATTTTGGCACATTGTTGCATGACCAAGCGATTGCAGTTAAAGTAGCACAGTGCTGAATAGCAAAAAAAAAAAAAAATTTGTCCTGGTCATGAAGAAGGTAACACTTTCTGGAAGTCAAATGGTTAAAGAAACAAAAACTGTTCTGTCTTTCCAAGCTAAGCATTGAAAGTGTGATCTCTGTAACTTACAGTTGTGGTGAGATAGCGATAACTCCAATCCTAGTTGAATATCACAGGCAGTGACTATATCAGATGACACCTTGTAGACCTTGTGAAGTTTATTCCATAATCTTACAACAGATATATTATTAATTTATTTCCTGGCTAAATTGATTGATTTAATTTATTCCAGAATCTTACAACAATAATTGTCCGATAGGTCAAAAGATCATAATGTGATCTGCTTCATGACATGAGGATTGAAGCTGAAATGCCTTAATGGGAAAAGGGGTGGAGCTATCTATACAGCATGAACTAAACCAGAGGAAAGGGAGGAGCAGAGAAAAAATATAGAGAACACTTAAAGGCATATGACAGTCATGTGAAACATAACAAAAACACACAACACATGACACGCAATAGCTATACAGACACCTGCCTATATCTATGGGCAACTGTTTTGTTATCTTCCCTTTTGGAAACCAATGAAAATATTGAAATAAAAAAAACTTTTCTTGGTATTGTCTTCCAGGAGTTGTTTGGCCAAGTATTGCACCAATCAGATTCTCCACCATGGGAGGACCCATCATAGATCTCTCACATTTGACTCCCCCTAGCAGGGGCGGATGGACAACTCATGGGGCCCCTGTGTCCTCACCCACACCCAAAAAAGTCTATGAAAAGGTATCAGGGGCATCTCATGTGGCCCCCTACTAACCCCGGGCCCTCGGGCAGTGCCCGAGTGCTCGATTAGTCAGTCCGCCCCTGCCCCCTAGATATAATTATAAAACCTCCTAATACCCATAAAGCAGCATGGAGGGGCTCGGTGAAGGTGGCGGTGAAGGTGTGGAGGTGTCGGATGGGGCCACACAGACCATAAAAAGAGATCTGTCCAGCCTCGTAATCCAGTTCTATCCTGACTCTTTTACAGGAGACATTGGCAGGCAATGGAATCTCCTTCCGGTCATGCATCGCCGAGTACCGACTACAACCCCACTTCTCCAAACACCAGGACTTCTTATTACAACCAATCAATGACTGATCTCCCCTCTTATCTATACTGGGGTAACTCATCCCGACTCTCCAGATCCCGGACCCCCTGACATCCACCTCCCAGTAATGTCGCCCCGGATGAGAAACTCTGACTGCTTAACACCTGAGGACACTTAAATCTCTTCGGTGTTTCTGGACGATTCTGATAGGATGACCAGGATGCCGTTTTCCCATCAGTTGACATATGTAGATTATTACCAGCTGTGCTCAGATCCAGTATAATGTCTGCAACCCCCGACACCCCTAATATTCGTTGCACAGCCCAAATCTTTGGTTTTCCAGCTTGGCGTTGTGGTGGATCTACGGGGAGATGGGTTGGGGGCATGGTCTGAATAGTTCAGCCTTGATCTGATCTATGTTCCTTTTGCCTAAAGTTGAATAGCAAGGCGTCTGTACATTGACCCCCGACATGATATCCGATAAACCTGTGTGTAATGTCTGTGAGATCCCCGCCACATCAAGATCTCCTCCATCATGGAGGAGTTTATCATGTGTGTCTGTGTCCTCCTCATCTCCATCCTCAGTATCACACAAGTCACCTGTGTTTGATTCCTGTAGGACAGTCATGTTACACAGCATCTCAATGTGACTCATCTTCCCGGACAGCTTGACCTTCTTTATTTCCAGCTGTTGGATCATATCGGAAAGTGATAGAGAGATCCTCTCTGCCTGCCTGGATATATCAACCAGGACTGTCTTCTCCAGGTCTTCCAGACGTCTCCTGAGGTCTCTGAACAGGGCAGTGACTCTCTCGGTTTCATCCTCTGCTTTATCTTGTACGTTCTTCTTGCGTTCCTGCAGACTCTGGGCTCTTTTCTCCATTTCCTCTCTCTTGGACATCAGTTTGGGCAGAGCACTTCTCAGTGTCTTCTTCTTCATCTCAGAGGCCTCCTCCAGAGTCTTCACAGTTTCCACAATGTTACACACTGTTAGGTTCCTCCACAGCGCAGGCCGCTCCTGGAACGTTTTTCTGCAATAGGGACAGGAATAACCTCCAGATCCCTCCTGTGTATTCAGCCCATAAGCAATACAGTCCCTGCAGTAGTTGTGTCCACATTTCAGCATTACCGGATCTGTATAAATGTTTAGACAGATGGAACATTGCAGCTCCTTTTCTAGATGAGAAGACGCCATCGCTGAAAGCAGAAGACTGAAATGTGAAGTTTGAACTTTCTCTCTTATACATATAGAATATAATGCGCAGAGTCCAGGAATCCATAAAAGTCAGGCTAATAAATTCGGTTGATGGTTTTACCATGCTTTGCATATTATCATTGCACTTTGAACCTCTCTACCTCTCTGTAGAATGATCCTGAGTGACAAGAGAGAGCAAAGGGTGTGCTCCAAGTTTATGTACACAGGGATCGTGTAACCATATAATCTGAGACAGCTTGAGTTTTCTCTGCAGCAATGTTTTATCAAATCACATAATATGAACTGTCCGTGTTACCCCAGATACACCAGGGCCATCTTTATAGCATCATGGGTGCCTGACATCGGTGGACTGACAAGTCATGGGGCCCCTGGGCAATAGGGGATTATGGGGCCCCTGTATCCTCGCCCACACCCAAAAAAAGCCTATGAAAAAGCTAATGAAAAGGTACCAGGAGAATCCCATGGGGCCCCCTACTGACCCCGGGCCCTCGGGCAGGGCCCGAGTGCTCGAATGGTCAGTTCGCCCCTGGTGCCTGAGCAAAGGGGTCCTGTCAGGAATGGACTTGCCAATGGTGGTGGGACTCAGCTGCCTTGTGGGCTGCAGTACCAAGGCTGGCCAGCGGGTGCTCTCAGCAGCCAGAATCTCACTCCTGCAATCAGGCCATCACCTGAGGCTGATTGCAGGAGGTGTATTTAAGCAGGACCAGGCCTGTGATCAGTGCCTTGGTGTATAGTTTCCCTTGGCCCCTGTATCCTTATCCTGCCTGCTTGAATCCTGACTCTGCATGAACTCCGCCTGTACTGACCTCGGCTATTCCTGACTACTCTTCCGCCTGCTCCTTGTACCTTGTCTGCCCGTTTGCTACCGACCCGGCCTGCCCAACTACGTTTAGTATTGTTCTTATTGTTATCTGTTGGAGGTTTGGTTTGTTTGCACTGTGTTTATGTATTGTTTAGTCTTGAATAAATTGTATTGTTTATACTATACCTGAAGCCTGCGTTTCCCTGTGTCAGTCCACACACCTCTGGTCATACCTGGAGCCCTGACAGGTCCACTGGAGCCCCTACCAGCCTGCCCAAATATACGCAGCTACTCTCATGAATTAAAGAATAAATAGTTGATAGAATTAAATGTATATACATACACACACTCCTATATATAGTGGGTTAGCTCAGGTGGGGGATCACCTTCCCTGGGAAAAAGGTGACCACACAGCAGGCTTTCTTAAAAATCTGACCGGTTGTCAGTTTTATTCAAAGGTTTGCAAAATATCAAAACAAACAAAACAGTAAAATAAACCCTCGCCATCCAGGCACTAACTAAACATAGACATTGTCCTATCTCACTGATGAAGGGCTTCTCCCTGCCACCAACCAAAACAAAACCATAAGCAAACCTTTTTCCTTGTTTGTGTAACACACACCTTCATTCATGTACAGCTCTCTCAGGAATGGCTCTCTGAGTCCCAGGCCACAAGCAGATCCTTGCTCCAGCCCTACCTTATTTATACCACCTCTTGGTGGTCATCAGTGGAGCACAAGATCCGATCCAGAACCACCTCTGCCATTGTGGCCCCAAAAACCCGGAGTGGATGTCACCTTACACTCCCAAGTATGATCGCATGTGAGGTGACACATAGCAAGTGTGCATCAATCACCTCGCCGTTCATACTGTCACAATATATATACACATATACATACACACACATACATATACAGTTGTGTACAAAATAATATCAGTCAGACATCACTAACCGGATCAATCACTGTTTTTGGTAGAAATGATATCTCTACATGGCAAATAATTTCCTAGCAGGTGTAGTAGAGTAATAGAAATCCAACAGACCCGACAGTCATGACATGCATGCTGCTGATTCTGTGTCATTGAATCACTCATTGAAAGGGGCGTGTTCAATATAATAGCCGTGTGGAGTTCTATTAGTGAGGTCATTCATTCTTTGAAAAACAGGTGGCAATGATTGCCCTTATTTAAGGAAGGAAGGCAGCAAATGTTGTACATGCTGGTTACAGTGCATTTCTCTCTGAAATTCTGAGGAAAATGGGTCGTTCCAGACATTATTCAGAAGAACAGCGTACCTCGATTAAAAAGTTGATTGGAGAGGGGAAAACATATAAAGAAGTGCAGAAAATGATCGGCTGCTCAGCTAAAATGATGGCAAATGCTTTAAAATGGCAACCAAAACCTGAAAGACGTGGAAGAAAGCAAAAAACTACCATTGGAATGGATAGAAGAATAGCCAAAATGGCGCGGACTCAGCCAACAATCAGCTCCAGGAAGATGAAAGAAGGTGTGACGTTCCCTGTGAGGACTGTTACAATTAGAAGACGCCGATGTGAAGCCAAGCTATCTGCAAGAAGTCCCCGCAAAGTCCCACTGTTGGAGAAAAGACGTGCTGAAGAGGTTACAATTTGCCAAAGAGCAGATTGACTGGCCTAAAGAGAAATGGCCCAACATTTTGTGGACTGATGAAAGTAAGATTGTTCTTTTTGGGTCTAGTGGGCGGAGACAGTTTGTCAGACGACCCCCAAAAACTGAATTCAAGCCACAGTACTCTGTGAAGACAGTGAAGCATGGTGGTGCAAGCATCATGATATGGGGATGTTTCTCATACTACGGTGTTGGGCCTATTTATCGCATACCAGGGATCATGGATCAGTTTGAAGACATCAGAATACTTGAAGAGGTCATGCTGCCTTATGCTGAAGAGGAAATGCCCTTGAAATGGGTGTTCCAACAAGACAACGACCCCAAACACACCAGTAAATGTGCAACATCTTGGTTCCAGACCAACAAGATTGACGTTATGGAGTGGCCAGCCCAATCCCCGGATCTTCATCCAATAGAAAACTTGTGGGGTGACACCAAAAATGCCGTTTCTGAGGCAAAACCAAGAAATAGAGAACTGTGGAATGTGGTCCAATCATCCTGGGCTGGAATACCTGATCACAGGGGCCAGAAGTTGGGTGACTCCATGCAACACAGATGTACAGCAGTTCTCAGAAACAGTGCGACTACAACCAAATATTCATGAAGTCATTCAAAGGAAAGCAAAATCTTCAAACATTTCTCAGTTTATATAGTGAATGTTTGAGTTTGTAAAGAAGAATACAAACACTGCCATTTTTTTGAACCGTCTAATATTCACTTTTCTTCCATTTTTTTTAGAGGAACAACACAAATTTGATGTATTTTTCTTCATGTGATTTGGAATAGAATGTGTCGTGTTCCCAATGCATTTGTGTGGATGGAAATAAAAGCTATTAGAAGGATTTTCAGCTTTATTCACTTTTTTTCAACACACTGCTATTATTTTGAACATAACTGTATATATATATATACACACACACAATAATATCTATCTATCTATATATAATAAAGAAGTAAAACCTTGCGAGCAGCTCAGACTCAGCTCTTACACAATATCTCTCCAATATATTCCTCTAGCACTCAGCGACAGCTGCTTTTGATATATACAGTTGCAAGAAAAAGTATGTGAACCCCTTGGGATTACGTGGAGTTTTGCATGAATTGGGCATAAAATGTGCTCTGAACGTCATCTAAGTCACAACAATAGAAGAACACAGTCTGCTAAACATAATACTACACAAACATTAGATGTTGCAATGGTTTAATTGCACATAACATGTAAACATTCACAGTGCAGGGAGGAAAAAGTATGTGAACCTTTGGACTTAATAACTGGTTGACCCTCCTTTGGCAGCAATAACTTCAACCAAACGTTTCCTGTAGTTGCAGATCAGACCTGCACAGCAATCTGGAGTCATTTTGGACCACTCCTCTTCACAAAAACTGTTTCAGTGTAGCAATATTCTTGGGATGTCTGGTGTGAATCGCTCTCTTAAGGTCATGCCACAGCATTTCAATCGGGTTGAGGTCAGGACTCTGACTGGGCCACTCCAGAAGGCGTATTCTGTGCTGTTTCAGCCATTGTTTTGTTGAAATACTTGTATGCTTTGGGTCACTGTCCTGTTGCATCACCCATCCTCTGCGGAGCTTCAGTTGGTGGACAGATGGTCGTACGTTTTCCTGCAAAATGTCTTGATAAACTCTGGAATTCATTTTCCCATCAATGACAACAATCCATCCAGGCCCTGAGGCAGCAAAGCACCCCCAAACCATGATGCTCCCTCCGCCATGTTTTACAGTGGGGATGAGGTTTTGATGTTGATGTGCTGTGCCTTTTTTTCTCCACACATAGTGTTGTGTGTTCTTCCCAAACAACTCAATCTTGGTTTCATCTGTCCACAGTATATTTTGCCAGTAGTGCTATGGAACATCCAGGTGCTCTTTTGCAAACTTCAAACGTGCTGCAATATTCTTTTTGGACAGCAATGGCTTCCTCCATGGTGTCCTCCCATGTACTCCATTCTTGTTTAATGTTTTCCTTATTGTAGATGTGTCCACAAAAATGTTAGCATGTGCCAGAGATTTCTGTAGGTCTTTAGCTGACACTCTGGGATTCTTCTTTACCTCATGCAGCATTCTGCGCTGTGCTGTTGCAGTCATTTTTACAGGACGACCAAGCCTAGGGAGAGTAGCAACAGTGCTAAACTTTCTCCATTTGTAGACAGTCTGTCTTATCGTGGACACATGAACATCAAGGCTCAAGGAGATACTTTTGTAACCCTTTCCAGCTTCATACAAGTCAACAATTCTTGATCGTAGGTCTTCTGAGAGCTCTTTTCTGCGAGGCATGGTTCACATCAGACAGTGCTTCTTGAAACCAGTAAACCCAAAACAGGTGTGTGTTTTTTAAGGGCACGACAGCTGTCAGCAACATATCCAATATCATCACACTGATTGGAGTCAAGGTTGGCTCACTCCTGGCTCCAATTAGCTCTGAGAGAAGTCATTAAGCTAGGGCCTCACATACTTTTTCCTTCCTGCACTGTGAATGTTTACATGTTATGTGCAATTAAACCATGGCAACATCTAATGTTTGTGTTGTATTATGTTCAGCAGACTGTGTTCTTCTATTGTTGTGACTTAGATGACGTTCAGAGCACATTTTATGCCCAATTCATGCAAAACTCCACATAATCCCAAGGGGTTCACATACTTTTTCTTGCAACTGTATATATTAGGACTTTCAATAAAATCAATTTTAAACAATAGGAAAATGCACCGTAAATCAAAGACTAATCAACACAAAGGGCACATTACGGGGGAGGCAGAAGGGCACAGTATGGGGGGGGACACTGCCTGGGACAGCTTAATAAAAAGCGTGACTGTCCCAGCAAATCCAGGACAGTTAACAAGTATATTTTAATTTAAGATTACCATGGGGCCCCCATGCCCTTTGGGGCTCCTGGGCACTGCCCATGCAGATGGCCCTGAGATACACCCATCACCTTTACACTTCCATTCCCAAGATATCATTTTCATTGGAATGTTGGAAGCTTACGCCGAGTACACATAATCAGAAAATGGTATGAAAAGTACAGTTTTCAAAGCCATCGTACGATAAATCTGATCGTTAGTACACA